ATGTCTTTTGAACTAATTAGTGCCAAACAGAATGGTAATCCATGAAAAAAAAATAATAATAGTTAACAATTAGTGAGTGCTTACTGTGTGCCACCGTTTTAGGCACTTTACACAGGCTAATTAAATGAAATATTCAGGACGACCCTATAAGGAACGTACTCTTATTATCTCTACTTGACATATGAGGAGACACATACTGGCTAAGTCACCTGCCCAGAGTGACACAGCAGTGAAGTGTCAAAGCCAGTGTTAGAACTGAGGTGGTTTAGCTCCACACGCTCAGCACTATGAAACACTATCCTGTACTGCTGCTCTTTGAGGGATGCTTCCTATACGAGGGCCTATTACTGAGTATAATAAACTGTTTTATCTTTTTTAAGAAACTGTTTTATCGGGGCACCTGGGTGGCTCAGTTGGTTAAGCGACTGCCCTCGGCTCAGGTCATGATCCTGGAGTCCCACATCGGGATCCCTGCTCAGCAGGGAGTCTGCTTCTCCCTCTGACCCTCCCCCCTCTCATGCTGTCTCTCATTGTCTCTCTCGCAAATAAATAAAAAATCTTAAAAAAAAAGAAACTGTTTTATCTTTCTTTTAATTAAGATATAATTAGCACCTAACATTCTATTACCTTCAGGTATATACAGCACATGGATTCAATATAGGTATGTATTACCAAATGATTACCACAAGATGTCTAGTGAACACCTATCGCCACATATAGTTTCAAACTTATATGTATTTGTATAAAGAAATATACATCTTCTATAAATACCCAAGTAATAATGAATGTGAATGGGATTTGTTTTGCCCATTTTTTGAAGTCAAAAATGAAGACTATGTCATGTACTTCTTCAGTGACGCATGTTGATCTACATGAAAGCAGGCAAGTCAGCATGGGCAGAGATCTCGGTCTCCAGTTCCTGCACGTTTATAATGCTGTTATGTGTAATAGCATAGTTACAGCAATGTGTTCTCTCTCGCCCCTTCCCTTCATAGCAGAATTACTTGAGAAAATGAGACTGTGTAGACTAGTTCTGTTTCTACTTCCCCACTTCCCATTCGGACTCTTTGGTCCTCGGAGATCAGATTTTCACCTCAAACAAAACATTGTCCCAGCGAAGAGTCACCAAAGCCCTTTCCACTGCGCCTGGCCTCTGTAGCCCGGATCTTACTCCACTCCCTCAGCGGCCCGCACCCTAGCCACGCCCCCCCTTCAAAACCCCTCCTCCCTCCGCTCCTGACAACACTGCAGGGTCTCCTCTCCTCAGGGCCACCCACTTCTCAGGTGCCTTTGCTGGCTTTCCTTTCCTTCACCTATTCCCTATATATTAGGGCTTCCTGGGATTCTTTGCTGTGTCCTCTTCTAATTTTTCACCCTCTTGCCTACTCACGATGCCTTGCCTGCCACCTCTATCTGGGTACTCCCCATCTTGCCATTTCTTTATTTGGCCGACAGCTCTCCTTTGAAAAGATGTCCATCCGATGGCTACTGGCAGTTTGTTTCTGGATATCTCAATAGTACCTCAACAACATGAACCAAGTACCAATTCAGTGTCTCTTCCCTTTTCCGGATACTGAAGAGGTCTGTTAGCAGCTCTCCCTGTCTTCAGAACTGTACTATCTAATAAAGCATCTTCCACGGGCACGTGGGAGGGATCTTCCCAAAGCTCACATCTAATTATGTCACCTAAAATTCTATTCAAATAGAATAGAAAATTCTATTCAAATAGAATTCAAATTCTATGACAGAGGAATGAGCACGGTGCACACAGCTGTTCCACGAGTGTGCCTCAACTCTCTACCTTTTTTTCCAGCCACAATCTTTTCCCCTCCACACCAATTCAGCCAGACTGAATGAACTTCTTCATTGTTCCATGAAAACAGTGTTATATCAAGCCCCCTGCCAACATGTCCTTCTCCAGGGCTGACGCAATCCATCTGGAGAATAACTATATACCCTTTTGAGGCTCAGCTTAGTAACTGCCTCTCTTGTGAAGCCTTTGATGATCATCTGAAGAGAAAGTAAGCACTGCCTTCATTGAACCCACCTTAACCTGGATAGACCTGTGAGCCTGCTAGGACAGGAACCATATCTCGTTTATTATTTGCAATGCCTTAAACACAGAAGTTTGTTCTTATTAACTGCTTGAATAAATGCCTGAATCTCCAGAGGTGGATAATGAGGCTAAATATTCTTTTAATTCATTATCACATTAATAACACACTTTACTAAATGAACATTCGGTGGGGGGGGAAGAGAGAGAGAGAGGGAAACAAATCATGAGAGACTCTTTTAACTATAGAGAACAAACTGGGGGTTGATGGAGGGAGGGAGGTGGGGAATGGACTAGATGGGTGATGGGTATTAAGGAGGGCACTTGTGATGATGAGCACTGGGTGTTACATGTAAATAATGAACCACTGAACTCTACTCCTGAACCAATATTGAACTGCATGTCAACTAACTAGAATTTAAATTAAAATTTTTTTTTAATTTAAAAAATAAAAATAACACACTTTACTGGAATGTATGATCTATCTTGACGCAGAAATCCACTAGCAAAAGTTTACTCTCCCATCTTCTAAAAATAACATTAATTTATTTATTAGATAATATTGCAACAGTACTTTATGAGCTCTCTCTTTTCAGGTTAGAAAAAAAAATGTGACTTGGTAGGCTTAGGAATAGCATCTGTGGAAGACCAAAGATTTTTCTGTCTGTAGCTTTCCATTTGGAACATTCTCTTTATGACGTGAGCCTTCAATAAACTTTCCTTCCTGAAGAGCTCATCCTCCAAACTCTCCAAATGCCAGCACCACGTGCCCTATCTTCACCAGGACCAGCACTATGGCTTTTCATTTGTTAGACTAGATGTTGGCTTTGCTAGAACCTCAGTGAATGTTTTTCACCAAATTAACATTTTAAATCATTTTATTTATTTTTATTTATGGGGAACAGAAAGTTGTAACCCAATGGGATATGGCCAGTTGAAATTTCAATCTTAAATAAGCATAAGTATATTCTCTCACTATACAATACTCCCAAATTGTCCTCTCTCTCTCTCTTTTTTTTTTTTTTTTTAAAGATTTTGTTTATTTATTTGACGGAGAGATAGCGAGAGCAGGAACACAAGCAGGAGGAGTGGGAAAGGGAGAATCAGGCTTCCTACCGAACAGGGAGCCCAATGTGGGGCTCGATCTCAGGACCCTGGGATCGTGACCTGAGCCGAAGGCAGACGCTTAACGACTGAGCCACCCAGGTGCCCCCCAAATTGTCCTCTCTTATCGAAAAAGGTAGTTGGCTGATGCTGTCATGATCTCCAAGAGGATCTTTACTCAGAGGCTGCCATGGTCATGCTCAATTACCACCTTCCTTAGGGGCAAAAAGAAGTATAAATCTCCCTCTATGAGACCCAGAAGAATAAAAACCTTTGAGGACATCTCTTTAGAAAGAAAAATTTTCTTAAAAGTTTATTCACAACAAATAATCACTACAGATTTCTACTCTCTAGGAACTGGTTCCATGAAATCCAGAAGCCAGATGAAGCAGATCCACTGAGCCCCTTTACATAAGAAAAAAATAAACTAGATGCTACATTAGATAGCCTTTACATAGGTTAAGGAACTACCAGATTATCCCATTCAATCTTCCCAGCAATCATGTGGATTAAATATTTATATTTTGATTGTGTGAGTGAGAAAAATAAAGCTCAGAGAGACTGTCTTGTCTAAGATCAGTAAGTAAACAGCAAAGTCAAAATATCAAACTTAAGATCATTTTGTTTAAGGTTGTACACTTTTCAATACCTCATACAGTTTCTGAATCTTAAAAGATACTGACCCAGATGCAAGATCTAGGTCTTTCTTCTTTTTTTTTTTTTTAAGATTTTATTTAATTATTTGAGAGAGAGAGAGAGCAAGCAGGAGGAGGGAGAGGGACAAGCAGACTCTGAGCTGAGCATGTAGCCCAATGTGGGGCTCAATGTCACAACCCTGAGATCATGACCTGAGCTGAAAGCAAGAGCTGGACGCTCAACAGACTGAGCCACCCAGGCACCCCAATATCTAGGTCTTTCTACCAACATTCCTCTTTTGGATCTTTGCTCATAGCACATTCTCAGTCAGTTTCCTGTAAACTCATATCCAGTTGGGTACTGTTCACCATCTATTAAATGTAATTCTAGACTCCCAATAGCATTAATAATTGTCACCCTCAATAGTTTTTCAGGGTCCTTTCCTAGTCAGCATTCTGATCCTCAAATTCATCCTGATTTAATTTTACTCTCTCCAAAAGCAGACATTAATCATCAGTTTCCCATTTCAGTGTCCAAGAGCAATATTTAATTTCTATAAATACATTTTCCAATTGGACGTACAAATAGCATGATGAAGCAAAACATTCACTGCCAAGAGTCAGAAAGATCTAGGTTCAAATCCTGGCTTGGCACTTGTTAGCTGAAAAACTTGGCAAGTTCCTTATTTTCATTAAGCCTCTGTTTCCTCATGTAAGGAAGGATGTTACTATTCACCTACAGGGATATTTTGAATGCTAAGTAATGTTTGTAAAGAGGTTAACATAGTACTTGGTCAAAGAAAACACTCAATAATTAGCAGGTATTGGTAACATTACTGTTCTTAGTATTAGATTTAAAATATGAAGTGCAAATTTGGGAATAGTCAAGAAGAGTTGGCAGCAGGCCCTTCATAAAAATGGAGCTAAAACTGTAACTTAAAAAAAAAAAGTTTTTGCATTTAAAACTTTTTCTTAAGATTTTATTTTTAAGTAATCTGTACACCCAATGTGGGGCTCAAACTCACAACCCCGAGATCAAGAGCTGCATGTTCTATCGACTGAGCCAGCCAGGCGCCCCTGCATTTAAATCTTAAACTACTTCTGAGAAAGTAGCATGATGGTAAGGCTACCCATTCTCTTTCTGATACGCAAAAACAATAAAAATCTCCCTCCCCCATCATTTTTATTTTGATATTGACTATTCTGACCTGATGCTGGCAGATTTGGCTTTTAAGTCATTCCATCTTTGGTTCATATCATCCAGGCGATGCTGAAGCATAGTAGCCTCTTCAGAATTTCCCAAAGCTTTTACCATCTTCTGCCTGTTTCCATCAATGCTTTTAAATATGTCATTATGTGCATCAATTTCTGCCTGGATATCCTAAAGAGAAAAGAGCAGAGACAATGCAAATGTTAGGTGTTAGTGTCAAGACTACCTTGGGGTTGCTTTATAGAACTTTATTTTTTTATAGTCCACAGATGAGGGGTTTTTTAAGCAAAATAGTTAAATTCACCTTAAATGATACCAAATTATGACAGAAATTAAAAAATTAGTTCAGATAATGAATCTAAATTAGTAAAAGGAGAATAAACTCTTAGATGCCATAATTGTATTACCTTTCTCATCTTCAGTTTTCCTTTATAAGCCTCACTCGTCTTAAGTTTTCCAATTCCAAATGAGCACGATGAAAAAGTAAATAGAAATTTTTTAAATACTCGGAATGCTTTCATTAATTTAGAAATCATTCCTGATTAGCAGTCCATCAAGAACCAATGCTTACAGGCTGGGATCTAAAAGACTGTTCTTCCTGTATCTACTGGCCTAGACTAACCAGAAGGACACATGGAAAGAAAGGCCTTTTGCACCTCACTATACAATAAGTATGGTAGGAAGATGTCACTTCCATGAGGTTAAAGGGCAGAAATGCTGTATTCTAATTTCTGAGAAGATTTGTGATGTCTAACATGACACGAATAGGGTCAGATCTGAGGAGGGGTAAGATGAACAGAGTTTGATGGACAGCTTCTGCAAAATTTATGCTCCAAATCTGCAAGCCTATTAGTATCTGACCCTAATGACAAAGCCAAATCAGGTCCACCTGCAAAGTGTGATCTAGGTACACCCAGAACTGGTGTTCACCACCAAACAAAACTCTGAGTTTGTTGACTCTTGTGCATTTCACTAGCCCCTTGATTCCACAGACTGCAGAGCAGATACCAACAGGGGAGCAAGGGACAGAGCCAGGTCCTGATTCAAGGTGCTCACGCTGGACAACATTATGTGCATAAAATGGCAATCTCAATATAATTTCAGTTTGGGATGCTTTAAATAGAAATTCTTGGTGAAAATAAAAAAGGTAAGGTAAGTTCTGTTGAAAGGTCCTTTGGTGTCATCTCCTGAACCTAGTCCTTATTCTTTAGGATGTAACTGTTGTATTTTTGTGTCCTGAAATGCATTTCAAGACATCTAAAGAGATAGATTTAAAGATCAATAGTTTTAAGCTCATGCTATACATATGCATGATAGCCATCTTTCTCAAGAAGCTCAACAGGGGTGCCTGGGTGGCTCAGTTGGTTAAGCATCTGCCTTCGGCTCAAGTCATGATCCCAGGGTCCTGGGATCGAGCCCTGCATCTGGCTCCTTGCTCAGTGGGGAGTCTGCTTCTCCCTCTCCCTCTGCCCCTCCCCCCCATTCACGCACTCTCTCTTTCTCTCTTTCTCTTGCATGTGCACGCTCTCAAATAAATAAGTGCAAGCTGGTACAGCCACTCTGGAAAACAATATGGAGTTTCCTCAAGACGTTAAAAATAGAACTACCCTACGACCCAGCAATTGTACTACTAGGTTATTTAATCCAAAGATACAGATGTAGTGAAAAGAAAGGGCACGTGCATCCCAGTGTTCATAGCAGCAATGTCCACAATAGCAAATTGTGGAAGGAGCCAAGATGTCTTTCAACAGACGAATGGATAAAGAAGATGTGGTTCATATATACAATAGCATATTACTCAGCCATCAGGAAGGACGAATACCTACCATGTGCATCTACATGGATGGAACTGGAGGGGATTATGCTAATTGAAATAAGTCAATCAGAGAAAGACAATTATCATATGATTTCATTCATATATGGAACATAAGGAATAGTGTGGAGGACCACAGGGGAAGGGAGGGAAAACTGAATGGGAAGAAATCAGAGAGGGACACAAACCATGAGAGACTCGGAACCCCAGGAAACAAACTGAGGGTTGCAGAAGGGAGGAGGATGGGGGGATGGGGTAACTGGGTGATGGGTATTAAGGAGGGCACATGATGTGATGAGCACTGCATGTTATATGCAACTAATGAATCGTTGAACACTACATCAAAAACTAATGATGTGGGCGCCTGGGTGGCTCAGTTGGTTAAGCGACTGCCTGCGGCTCAGGTCATGATCCTGGAGTCCCGGGATCGAGTCCCGCATCAGGCTCCCTGCTCAGCAGGGAGTCTGCTTCTCCCTCTCCCGCTCCCCCCTCTTGTGCTCTTTCTCTCTCTCACTCTCTCTCTCAAATAAATAAAATCTTTAAAAAAAAAAAACTAATGATGTACTATATGTTGCCTAACTGAACATAATAAAAAAATAAATAAGTGAATAAATAAATAAAATCTTCAAAAAAAAAAAAGAAGAAGAAGAAGCTCAACAGCACATTGAGCAAGGCATCTCTTTGCTCTCCATTGCCAACATGAATCTGTACTCAAATTTCCTGAATAGGTTCCTAAACATTATTATCAATGAACCACACCCAAAATCACAAGGAAACTTCAAACCACTACTTCCTGAAGTAGCCTGACATATTTGCTTCGTTTCATAGTCAAGAGAAGTAGGAAGATAGAAGTGTACTAACATCCACAAATAGTTTTTATTTCAGGTTTCACAAAAGTATTCTACAACATCAGGAAATCTGTATACCAAGAACATAAAGCAAATTTGGCTCCTGATATCCAATCAAGTGAGGCCTTTTCCAACCCAGCCACAAAGACAAATGGAGTAGAACAGAGCTCCATCACTGGCCAGTCAATGATTGCAGGTATTTCTATCAAGTCTTGGTTAAGAGGACTACCAATCATCATATATTCATACTGGAATGCAAATTTTGGTATGTGAAAAACCCTTCCACACATGAGCCTCCATAAAAATTAGGAAAAAAATCAACAACCAGAAAGTGATCAAAGAAATCAGCATACATTATTTTATGTAACACTTGGTGGCATATTTACTTGGCCAAATATATTAAAAGCTCCTAAAGTCAGAAAAATCATCTTAATATTTCTTCTGTATTCTTCACGGTCTCTGCTACACAGAATGAGCCTAGCATAAAATAGAGATAGGTAGATAATGTATAAATGCATGAATGAAAGTATCTGGTTCATTTTGATCGGCATATTAGCCACTATAATACCAAGGAAAATCAAACAATTACACAATTGGAAGGGAGTGTAGTAATCATTTTGCTTAATCTCTTCATTTAAAAAATTTAAGATGGGAACCTAAAATTATTTAGATGCTTGCACTGCAAAGCCCTGCCTAATCTTTCACTGGAAATTTAGAATTACATGCAGTTAATGAATTATGTTCCTTCATAGATGATTGTACAATGATGCACTGGTTTTAAAATCAAGATGCCAGCACAGGAAGCTGTTAGATCATGGCCCTGATGTAGCACCAAATGCTAAAACAAATTGAAATTCCATGAAAGAGGGTTTACTCTCACCACATAGCTGAGGGACTTGCCCTACTAATGCTTACCTCTGTCACCTGCAAGCCATTCTGAACATTAAGCAGCACAAAATAGTTACTGATAATTAGTTATGGGAATGTAATCCATGCAGAAGCACAAAGCAATGCTCTCCCAAGCATTTAACATGAGCCGGTCATGTGCACAGAGAGGCCAAAGCAAAGTATTCAAGCAGCTGAACTAACACTTAAAAATAGACAAAGGGATATCTAAGGATTCAGTTGAAACATACCTTCTAACAATATAAGCAGAATGTAGAAGGTTAGGAGAAGCCAGGGGTTAGGATAGGAAGATGATAGAGGAAAACACCAAAAGCATAAGACACACACTGTCAGCGCAGCCTTCCAGAAGATGGTTATGAAGCTCACAGAGATTCACTTGCGCACAACATCTACTACCCAGGTCAAAATTAACCTCATAAATAAAGGAAAATATTTATTTACTTGCTTGTTTAATAACTGATATTTTCATACCAATTTTGCCCTTAACTGGACACTTCTCTAATTATCTAACCCATAGAGATAGTATATGTCGACACTTTACAATGTATGTCACATATATTTGACTTCTTTATAATGTTCTATAATCAAGTAGTGACTATAACTATGTGAGCAAAAATGTTTCTTTGGATTATGATAAATAGAACTGCTTGAACCCTCTGCTAGGAAACAGAGATTAAGAATATCGTACCCCTAGAAATTCTTCAACAACTGAATTGGTGCTAGAATAGATTCATCCTCTTCGGACTTTGTTGACATAATTTTGGTTTATTTTTGCATGGCATATTTACCTAACCTTACATGGCCACAGCAATGTTTTCTCTGAAGGAGTCCTAACCCCTTTCCTGAAGGTGAAGAAGTGAGGTCAGCAACGACTTCCCTACCATATCCCAAGGCTCGGGCTAAATCAACAAAGTTAACCATTAGGGGAAAAGAAATCCACGGTTCCTTTCAAAAACAAGACTGGAATTCAGAGACAGTTCAGGATTGATTAACAGGAGCTCAGTGGGACTGTTGCCAGAGAGATTTGTGTTTTGAAAGTGAGGAATCATAACTTTTTTTTAAGAAGTCAGATATTACCTAAAAATAATACAACCAAATAACATCATCAAAGGTCATCATATGATATGTAAATATGCTTTGAAGCTTTTGTGAAGCTTTGGGGATAGTGAGTAATTGTAATTAATTATTCAACTAATTATTACGATTAATTTATTATTTTCAATACATTATTCAATTAATATTTATAAACTACATTTTCACTCAACAACTAATCTCATAGATTTTAATCCCTCTATTAATAATTATGGAATCACATTTGACAGACAATAGAAAGTAGTATTACCTGGTCTTTAGCAGCATTTATAAAGTAAGAAATCAACGCCAGTAATGTTCTTTTCCCATTATCTATGATTATAAATATGTTAGACAACAGAGTAGAAAAAAGTTAAATTACTAGGTGGAACAAGCTCACAATTAACTGCCCTTCCAAGATAATTTGAACAAGCCAACTTGCAATGATAAAGAATCAATAAGGAAAATACAGTTTAAATTCCAACAGAGCACACACTGCTTTTAATCAAAATACCTTTCATAACCAAAAAATG